TGAAGAAGTGCCACCTGGAGAAGCCACTGTCAAAGAAGAAACTCTACTCATTTTGAGAAGGGAAATGGTAAAGTTCTTGATGAAGTTACTACCACTGATGTGACTGTTATCGACGATAGGACATTTCCTGATGAAGCAGATGAACCCCATATGAAGCAGAAGCCAACGAAACGGAGACCAGTACGGAAGAAGATACGTCCCGTAAAATTAAGAGACTTTGTTGAATTGTAATTTTGTGTTTGTAATTCTGTACATTTAATTAAGTTATTGTTATTGGTTTATTGTAAGTGGCTATTGTTCGGGACGAACAATACTAAGGAGGGGCAGTGTTGCGTCAGGTAGGTCACGTGACTAGTATCACGCCACCTGTTTCTAGAAATATCCTGTTCCTTGAAGAATGCCCTAGCATTTACTATATATGTGTTAGTCTTGTATATATAAGACGTTCACAACGTGACGGAACAACAGTGTAATGAGTAATTGAACTGCAGTCAGAGAGAATATTGTTAAGCACGTGAGAAGTTCGTTGAGAATTATAGCGTTTGTTACAGAGTGACTGTTGAAATTTAGTGTATCGTAAAGTTGTATTCGGAAAGAATAAACCAGTTCTATTTAAGAAAGGATTTGTGTCGCTACAGTTTCGTCGGAACGAATTTACGGTAAATTAACTAACGACTGGAGGCGTTACACCGTGTTTCTTGAACTGCACGATGATTCATTTGACTGTCGAAAGCGGGATTCCCAAATTCTGCGAAATTTGTCGCTGACTTATTCCACTATCTGCTTGACCAACTGTCCTTCCTCTAACAAAATCTGACAATTCGAGAGAACCTTGGGTTCTAGGCATGTTGTAGCACAAGATAATTAGTGTGCGGACCATTTCCATTTATATAGTGCTCTGTGAACACAAATTAGTTAGCATAAATCAGTTAAATGACGAAAAATTAGGTGTCTATTTACTTGTGACCACCCAGTGTATATACGTGATGTACGTTGTTTTTTTTGGAGGGGGGGGGTAAATGAAAGTATTCCAAAACGCGACAATAATTTCTTGACGACCTAATATATATATTGTACAAAGGAAATGGTTTGCTATGTTTTCTGTGCAATGTAAACTTTTCAACGTTTATCAAATAATTGGAGTCAGAATCACTCAATTTAAGTTTGTGTTCCTAAACCTGCTAAGAAAAACATCCATTGAATTCCTCATTCCGAAAAAGCCAGGAACTAGAATTCACTTAAACTTTTTTATTCCAGTTAAATCCTCTAACAAGTTCGTTATATGACAATAAGATTTCCTCACGTGATGGAATCTGTTATTTGGATCTTTTTATATTATAATTATATTTCTAGTTCTGAGATATGTACTACTTTTTTCTTTCTTTCTTTTTTTTGGGGGGGGGGGAGTCCCGAGGCCGCAATGAAAGACTAGAGGAAAAGCAGATAGTGAACACCACCCTATAGACAACTCTTGGGCTAACTCTTTTACCAGTGAATAGTGTGATTGGCCGTCACACTATAAAGCCTCCACGGCTGAAAGGGCGAGCATGTTCGGCGACTGGGTATGGAACCCGCGACCCACAGATTGCCTTTACCACCAGACGACGTACTATACTTACATGAAAGATAAGTTGGTATTAGAAGTGCAACAGCAATCCGTATACCACTTAAACCTTGAATGTTTGCTTGGTCATTTGCCATAACCACCAGACGACGTACTATACTTACATGAAAGATAAGTTGGTATTAGAAGTGCAACAGTAATCCGTATACCTCTTAAACCTTGAATGTTTCCTTGGTCATTTGAAAGTAAAAATCTCTATTTGAATATAATATATTATATGATGGCAATATGCCCAATACCACTAATCACCCTCACAAAGCTTTTATGAGAAAAATGAAATTTGATGAAATAGCAAAAACTTTGTACGATACAAGGCTTTTGAAAATATTTCTAATATTTTACACAAAAAATATGTAAAGAAACATACGTAATGATTTCAGCGATTTTCATTAGGGCCGTTAGAAAGAAGGCAGCTATAGTTTAAAACGTATTTATTTTGCATTTTTACTGTTTATCACACATCAAATTATAAACTCCTGTCATTGGTATTAAATAATTTGCCAAAATTTATTTTAAATGTCTCTTCATAACTTTTAGTGGATTTGCCTTAAAGGAAAAGATTTTAAAAAATATTCTTTAATTGGCAAGTGTTTGTTTTGATATGAAGCACAAAACTACAGAACGGGCTATCTGTACTGTGCCCATCTCGACTATCGAAACCCGATTTTTAGCGTTATCACCTCTCAGACTTACCCGTTGGATCGCCGTGGATCTGGTTCAATTTAAAGTGTTTTTTTTTTATTAAGCAATTAATTTCAACCTAATCAAAATACTGGATTACAGGTTGCGTTCATTGAAAAGCTAGGTTCTGACCAGAAAATAAACGTTTTTTTTCGGACTGGTAATGAGTGTTACTAGTAAACATACGCGTGTTTATTTTATACCTAATTTATCGAAGGTGTATCTTCGCAGTTTTATAATTCATAGTAGGTCACTACGCATTACTAAACAAATGTATTTATTTTGTGGCCAGGAAATGGTACTACACTTGGTCAAAGTCTTTAACGAATACATGTTTTATGTTCCTTACTGTCCCCTAGTGCGTCAGTGGTTAGAGTATGGACTTACAACGTTAATATTCGTGGTTCGATTCCCCGTAGTGCGCGGATCGCAAATAGCTTACTGTGTAACTTTGCACTAAAACAATATTTTTTTAATATTTCTTGAGTGGTAGTGTCAAATATTACTGTTTTATTTGCTAATAAATATATAATAAGAATTGTGAGTTTAATATTTCACTCACACACTCAAATTTACATTTTGCTTATGCTATATTATTATATTTGAAAATATGATTGGATATGCCAAATGCATGTCAGTTAAAAGTTAACAAATAAACTATAAATAAATATATATATATATATATACAGGGTGGGCCAAAAGTAGGGTTACAGTTACTCTATTATTTGTTTCTCCTTCACCATCACGTTTTAAATATACATGAACTCAGAACCAAAGCTAACTTTGACGAACTGTACTTCCAGCAAGATGGAGCACCTCCACATTATGCGCGGACAGTAAGAGAGTATCTTCATGAAACCTTTCCGCAGCATTGGTTTGGAAGGCGGGGCAGCATTGAATGGCCACCACGTTCACCTGACACCAATGGATTTCTTTTTTTGGGGTGTAGTCAAGAACAAGGTTTATGAGAGAAATCCCCACACAATGAATGAACTGAAAGATTACATTTCTGATGCATTCTCTGAAATTGATAGAGATCGGAATTTGTGTCGTACTGTGTGTCAGAGTGTTCTGGACAGAGTTGAAGATGGTTGCAAGCTTGAAGGTGGACACTTTGAGCACTTGAGAGATTAAATGTTTAATGTAAAATGTCTGATATGTAAATATAATGTATGTAAATAAATGTCTAAATTTCTAATAAAGGAAAAATGTTTAAGTGTTAACTGTAACCCTACTTTTGGCCCACCCTGTATATATGTATGTATAAGAAATATAGCTGTTGTTAAATGGACTAAGATATATATGCATACACTAATGTATTATATACAGAGGTTGGATACGTTAGTTATATTAAAACTATTTTGGAGTTTCACCAACTCTTTGCAGTCCGTGTTGCAACGTACGTTCATGCTCTTTCTGACAACCGTGCATCCTCACAATAACCCTGCAGGATAGTTTCCGTTGCAAAAGGCGCACGACTTTTCCTTGCAAGCTTCCTATAATGTATCTAGTGTACAAGGAAGATGGTTTCCAAGTGCTTCTTTCAGCAGTCATATCGTACAGGTACCTATAGGCGATATGTATGTTTTCGTATGGAACAGATAAAAAGCTAAAAGGGGAGGCTCGACGTCTTTTGTCACTGGCCTCTGTTTTCATGGATTCTCATGAGCTGTTACATAACCTTCCCAAAAGCGATGAATCTTCAGGGACATCACTCTATACTTACGTAACCTCAAACAATGTCAATACGTAGTCTAATGCTCGCTGTTCCACTGCGATTCAATATCAGCAGTGGTTGTCGCGTAAGTTGCTGATTTTTATATTCAACCCTCTGTATACTTGTGTGTGTAAGTATGTATGTATATATTTACAGTGATTGATTCGAATTATGCGTGTGCTAAACGACACTCGGAAATATTGTTTCAATTCTGTAAATATTTGTTTCAGAGGATTTTAGTATCTATATAATTGATTATTAAAGAATGGATAAAAAAGAAGCTAATCTTATATTTTACTTTTTTTTGTAACCCGTAACCAGTGGGGTAACTACAAAAGATGCCCCTTCCACGCAGAAAAAGTAATTTCGTGGGCTGCGAGGGCATACTTATGTCACTGCCCGTGACTCATCAGAATTTTGATAATTATGTAACTACGAGCTGTAAACATTCATTGGATGATTTACGCTCTACCTTAAGTAACTTCTGCTTAATTCTCGTATAAAAAAAATTATAGTGAATTAAGCATAAACTACGTAACGTCCCCATAAATGTGTTATTAAATTATGTTTATAATTTTGATATTTTATTCTTAGGAATCTGTGTTCACCCCGGGATCGCCCACAATATCACTGATGGACCGCCGGCCTTCTTCTCTACCGTCCACTGTCTCTGTTTCGGGTAGCAACGATCAGGATATTTGCCGAATCTGTCACTGTGAGGGAGATATAAATATGCCCCTCATATCTCCATGCCCTTGTTCAGGAAGCTTGAGGTATGTCCATCAGGCTTGCCTTCAACAGTGGATTAAAAGCTCCAATACCCGATGCTGCGAGCTGTGTAAATTTGAGTTTATTATGGAAACCCAAGTAAAGCCATTTCGAAAGGTGGGTATAAACTACAAACATATATGGACGTACATGTGAGAAAGAAAGAAGCTTGTATTTACATAGTATTGTCTATTTTGTACACTTTTACATTTGAATTTTTCACGAAGATGAGATCTTAAGTCTTTGATCCATTGTTCCAATACTATATTTTTCCTATTCATCCAAGCCTAATTAGGTTTTCCTAGGAAAACCTAAATGACTTGCAAATCCTTTATATTACGATTAATTAGGACAGTCGTAGAATGCATAATAACAAACCTTCAAACTGGTGTGTTTTTAACTTGGTTTTCTTTTATCCAATGACTGTCTATTTATAGTATCACCAACATATGGTACACCAGAATCGATAGACAGCCACTTGGAAAACGCCTGATTTACTTTATTACTTTGATTGTCAAATACATAAACAACTCTCCTAGTGTCACATTTATTGCTGTGTTCCCTTGTGTTTTTCATGTGAACCAGTGTCAAGGCAATGTGCGGATGTGCTCTATCAGTTGTTTTTTTTTTTGTTTGTTTGTTTGTTTTTATTTTGGGGGAGGGTTATTTTTAGACCATCGGCCCTATTGAAATATTAGACCGCTTTGCAATGTTACTAGTTGGATATTTGGGCTTTAGGCCTATCGACTGCTAGGGTCATTAAGGCCGTCAACGTATTGAGACTCCTCACCATTACTGAAAATCCGCGCGGCTGGAATAATGAAGTGCGCGGCACTTGATTGGTTGTTATGCGGCCGCGCAGCTTAGAGGGAACATTGATGCACAGTTAAAAAAAGACATACTTTTGAGGTTTAGAGTCCGTTTTACTGCACCATATAGTAACTTAAATTAACTTAGGTATGTGAATAATGTTATGACATTTTCTAGACTTCATTATTCAATATTATACAGCAAACCAACTGTTTGATGATTGTTTATATGTGTTTAACACATATATACATAGGACACATGCTTTAATATCTCCATATTTATCTGAAACTTGAAACTAGTTTACTCTGGGACGTTTCAAGGGGAATACCATCTATTTATGGTGGTACAAATTTCTAAACTCACGTGTAGTTACTTTAATATTTTTCAAGGCTAAAACAAACATTATATTCTGTGTTCCATATATGCGCCTATGATAGAGAACAAAGTTGTTATATCTGTCTGTAATATATTTTGGCGAACTAACGTCAATCGAAATTAATATACTACGATCTTAAAGGTAAGGCATCATTCTAAAACATCATCTCCTCATCCATTACATGATATATATACGTCTATTTTATGTTCGTAAACCATAAATGTGTTATATATTTAAGAATACCTAAACCAGTCTTTCTCAGCCGTGATTGCCAGACGACCCCGGCGTTCGGGCTTTGGTCCTTGCGACCCCTCGTTATCTCTACAAGTATGAAAAACAGTTCATCATACTTCATAACAAAGGTGACATGTGCATCTCTTACACACCTCCAGGACTAAAAAAAAATAGTGTTGACTCAGCTCAGACGGCTCGTAACTTCCCTGGAAACCCACCGTTTGAGAAACACTGGCCTATACTAAGGTGTATGAAAGTAACATATACAAAACTATCTGTATGTAGGACATCAGTATTTCTCAAAATAAAGCCTAAATTTATTTGTCTTGAAAAACTACCTTTCTATATAAAAAGTGTTACGTGTGTATAATAAGTTTTAAATTATGTTTCAAAAACAAGATTAGAACTGACAGTGGAGTTAGCCACTTGGCGCTTTAATTCTTAAGACATTTTAATTTACAGCGTCAGTCCAAAGATGCTGTTTTTTTTTTCTTTAATTTTTAGTTATTGACCAATTTCTGTTGTTTCGGGAGTCATTTTCGTAAGTAAAAAATCAGTTGAATATATTTACTAAACTCATTTTTATGACTCGCCTCTTCTGGAAACTTAAATATTAATTTAGTATTTTAGAATGCTTGCGTCTGAATTATGTCTTGAAAGTATACTGCCCTTGCTGGTTGAAAAAGAAAACATTTCAATGCCATTTCAAACAGTATTGATGCACACAGTATTAAACCATAGCAACTGATTGGCATGGAATGTCCTATCAAAATTCTCGCAGATGTAAAAAAAAAAACAATCTCGCGGTCATCTCATTTGAAAAGTAGTATGTGTACATCATTGAAAGATTTCTGTTGATCCATAATTAATGATGCTGCATCGACAGATAGTTGGCTAGAACCACAAAAGGTGCAATAAAAGTATTGGAGGTGTATTTTTTAAAAGAAACAAGTTGCAAAATAATTTTCTCTAAATCCGTATCGTTGGCTTAAATACGATAGTATATACTAAAGTACAGCTTGACATTTACCCAAAAAATGATTTTGGGAATCGCTATCAGTAATATTTAAACAAAGTTATATATATCCGGTTAATATTTGTGAGGAAAGGAGGAGAGTTTTTTTTTAATCAATTTACTTCAATCATAAGAGTAAGGCACCTTCCAAAATTACCCATCATCTCCTCATTAATGTGAGGAGTTATCCTCAAAAGTGCATAACCATATGTATACTGAACTTTCTAAATCACGAATGATATATAGATTTCACAATGCCTAAGGCACGCAAGTATAAATATGTTTAGTTTTATTGTACTGTATAGAGGTAACATAATAAAATGATCCAGCGTGCTTTGCTTTAAAATGGACGATACTGCCTCATTAATGATATTTACCAGTAACGTCTTTGTGAAGTGACAGGTTTTTTGTTTTTTTTTATGATCTTATGATCAAATGCGATTGTATCTTTCAGGCAGTGCTGAATGTTACGTGTAATGAAGAAACGTTGTTCTAACAACAAAAAATGTACTTCGGTACAGACGATATTTTAATACAAAAGTTGAACCAGAACTGAGACATTCTGATAAAATAATCTTTAGTTTGGTTTCTTTCGGCTCGAAAGTAGAAACCTACAGTTCAGAGTTAAAGGCACTTATTCTGATACAGATAGCGTTATCTGAAGAGATATTGGTAATAAAAGGAGAGTGTATTATCATATTTATCACAGTCGGGGGATATTATTCATTACGGGAGTGATAAAAGTTTGATATTTGTGTTGATATTATTAAGCAGTAGACTACGAGATCTTAAAACAAAAACAACCGTCAAACACGTGACAATTTAGTCCACAGTTTCTTTGAGTTATTATATTGAGATTTGAGAATTATTTAACTTGAGTAAAAAATTTCACAAGTCTTACAAGCTATAACTTATGAATTATGTCATGCATATTCTGTATCACTCATTTTCTGATCATAGCCTTCTGATAATGAGTTACTTGACTCTGTGAGTTTACACTTTTACGTAACAAATGTTTGGTTACAGTAGCGAGGTACAATACTCCCATAGGTAATAAAGCACTTCCCAGCTGAACCCCACGTCTTTCGTTAAATAAAAGGTACAACAAATATGACATTTATTGATAAACAATAGCAGTTACTCAAGCTGTTCAATAATATGCTATACTAGTCATGTGATTTTCTTCTTAATTAAATAAATTAATTGTGAAAATTATAATAATAATGACATTCCTCTTTTTTTTAATTGTTTATAGTGCAAAATGAATTATTCTGACAAGTTAAAACAAGTTCACCACCACTGACTTCAGATTAAAGAAATATTTTATTTTTGGTTTTCTTGCAACTTCTTTTTCTTATAGTATAAAGCAATAGTGTGTTCTTTATACAATACCCAATTTTACGAATTTATTGTGAAATAACATAAAATTGACTCTATCAACTAGTTTCTGCCTTCATCTGCGCAGGAATACCATATGTAATCTCAACATTTGTGACTGAGTCTCTGTACTACAGTTGCTTTATGAAGATGTAAAACCACAGCTTCAGGAATAAAGGTTTTGTTTTATCTCAAAAAAACAACAACATAATAGTGGTAAGACGAATTATAATGAATACAATCCTGTGAATCGGTAAACAGGTAATATTTAGTGATTATCTAAACCATTTTAGAGGGAGCTTTGAAACTATATAACTTACTACTTCGGTTAAAACTTCTTGTAATTGAGCCTTTATTTTGCAATACCCACTTGTAAAGAAACTGACAGAGAGAGTTGGTAAAGTATAGATGTTATTATTATAAACATATATATATATATAAACACACACACGCACACTTGTGGTAATTTTACAACAGTATAACATCATGTAGAATATATTTATGTGCGATATTTATGCAATATAAAGAACACTGTTTTTTTTTTGCAATACGTTTAGTAAGTCATACAATGAATAACCAAATTTTACATCATTTTGTACATAAAAGCAAAATAAACAGGAGTTACATTTAGAGTAAAATAAATTGTTATACTTCTAAGATACAAAAATATGTCCTACATAATAAATAAAAATGTTAACATACGAAGGTAATAGATACAAAGAGAACTGTAACATTTAACATCTGTTATCACTTTTGTATGTTGTATTTGATAAATAATGGCAAGCTTCAAAAAAACAAACTTATTATGAACACTGATTTTAGATCTAAACCATATATATTTCACGGTGCAAGAAGATAGCTGACGACCCCCACCCTTCTTTATATATCTATACGCAGCCCCAAAGTGCATTACATTAGGAACTGATTATATACTTGAAAACTTTCACCTTTGTATTGGAAAGTCCGATTATAATAGTAAATAAGTCGTATCTAAAAATAATTACGTCGTTTTGATAACGTCAACTTCTATTTCTGGCGCGTAAACAAACGTACACAGAGAAGCGAACGATATTTGACAAATGTCTAAATTCCAGCAAAACAGAATACACGTGAAATGTACGTTATAGTCTACAAGTTATGTTAGAATCCTTCGGTTTTAATTTATTATTAGAAATTTTAAGTTCTACTTTGATTTGAGGAAAATTAAAGCGCTCAAAACAAATTTTATATACTTGGAGTAAAACAATAAAGGTTGTGGAAAGATGATAAAATCGTTAAAATATCTCTAAAATTAGCACCAAAATA